TACCCGCGGGGGCCTTTGGGGCTCTGTGCGGGCTGCGACTTAAAATGCCATTTGCTTGTCTCCAGTGCTATGTATAGCACTTTATTTATTACCTAAGTTGTCAGAATACGAGAAATAACAGAGAGGTGTTGAATCGACAGCAGCCTCAGGTCTGGCTCGATGTGAAGACCGGGATCATGCAACCAAATTTATGCCAAAAATACATTCTTAAATCCCAATTAAGGAATTGTTCTTAAGCCTGTCAAATCAGAATACCGTTAAACAACGTGACGGCAACAGTTATTCCACTTCAAAAGCACAAACTGCAGTTACAGAGGGCGGTTGCGAGGCTGCTTTTTCCCAGCTGGCTTGACACGTGTATTTAAAGCTTTATAATTGCATTACTATTGCTTCCTAAGGGACAGACTTACAGCCAAGGAGAATATCCATGGTTTGACGTAACTGGACAATCGAGAGTGCCTGTAGAGGAAATTAAACTGTTAAAAGTTTTCCTGCCCAGCTCCCGGGCCTCATCCTGTACGTGCCCCATCTTGCTCTGCCGGCTCCAAGGGAGGTGGACCAGAGGGCGGTGAGCCGGCTGCGATCCTCCTCCTCCTCCTCTCTCAGGAATTACACAAAAGCCTCGAGTCTCTCAGACCGTCTGATGCAAAATCCACCTCGATGCATATATTTATGGTATTTAGGAGTGTTTAAAGCTGGACAACTAATTTCTCAATGCTTGTAGGAACAGGAGCGGCGAAGCTGGATTGGGATGGTGACGCTCTGACGACCACTGCATCCCTCGAGCAGATCTCTGCCTGCAGAGAGAAATGCTTATCAGCAGGAGAGAAGGGATCAGTGATTGCGTGGCATCCTCTTTTTGGGACGATATGTTGTAAAGACTCTGGAGCGTCAACCTCGAGGTAAGGCCCAGTTGTCTGATTTGGGGTTTTCCTTGCTTTCTGTCGTGGTGTACCTCTCCCAAAGTGCGGGGATGTATCAGATGCGAGGCGTATTTTCTGCCCACGCTGGTAGATTTTTGATGTACGGACGTAATCCAGATGTGGCAGGGAGTCTGCCCGGCCTTGCTGGGGGAACGGCCTCGACTCACCAGATCATGGAGGGTTACAAGAGTAGTGGTGGATAAATCCAAACACAAAGTTGATCGACAGACAGTGCCTGCTCTGCCTTCCCCCATCACCCCAGAGCATCTTCCCCTTCCTCCTGGCAGGGCATCAGTGTCCGAGGGTGCTGTCCCTTGGTGCTGAGCCACCACCTCCGTTCTGACACCACCCGTAGTGCTGCCAGGCCCGCACCAGCGATCCCCCCGCCAGTTCCTTGTCACCCAGCGATGGGTCCCAGCTCCCCACCTGGCCCTGACACCTCTTCAGCGCTGGGCTCACTCCCCCCCAGCATGCCGCAGCCCCTTTTAATGGAACCCCTGCTCCTCGCCAGCTCTGACTCACCCAGTCCCCTGCCCTGCGATCCCCAGAGCTGCCCCTAACCCACGTCCTGCAGCCCCCCCAGGCCCCTTCTACCCCTGGCCTGGTGCCCCCCTGCCCTGTGCCCAGTCCCTGCTGTGGTGTTGTCCTGCTCCCCACTGGCTCTGCAGGGGATGCCACCACTGGGAGGGATGGGACGGACCCCTCCCCACCTCATTGAAGCCCCCCCAATAACACCCTGGGCTCAGGGCCATCCCATGGGCTGAGCTCGGAGCAGTCTTTGAGGCTGTGTGGGGCCAAGGGGCACTGGGTTTGGGGTGATCCTATGGGTTTTATGGGGCTGCAAGGCCCTGGACACAGGGTGGCCCTGCAGAGACCCCGTGGGACCACAGGGCTTGGGACAGCCCCAAAAGCTGTGTGGGCCCTTGGAGCCCCCAACTCGGGGCAGCCCCTCAGTGAAGCCAGCTGGCGCAGGCTGCTCCTGTGCTCCTGCCCCAGGGTGCAGGGGACTCTTCTAGCACCCTTGGCATGGTTTGCTACCCAAAAGGGCCAGCTGGGTGCTTCCTCGAGCAGGAGGAGAGTCGCCTTGTTTTTCCTGTTCTCCCAGGGAGTCTGGGCAGGGCGGTGCCGGAGTTAGGGTGCAAAGGCAGAGCACCCCGCAAAGCCCAAACTCCCTGCTCTGCTGCGCATGGGGCTGCCCGGTGCTTTGCAGGGTTCGCTTATCAGAAGGTTGCAACGGGCTGTGTCCCGGCCTGGGAGCACAACTGGGTTTGTCTCGGTGATGCTGATGAGTGTTTTTGGGAACAGGGCAAGTCAGATTATCTTTTATGGGGCTGATGAAGCTGTTGATTGTGGGCTGAGCGGGGCCGAGGGTGCGAGCGGAGCAGTTTGGCTGGAGGAGCCGAACTGGATTAGAGATTATTGTTTGGTTCTTTGCTAATCCCTAATCTCTTAATTCTTCTCTGGGTGGTAACACTTGGAATTAGAAAGCCCATGGCGTTGAGCTTTGCCCCCCTTTTACATGGGAGAGAGCAAGTTGGGGAGATGCTGCTGGGTTTGGGACGAGCTGGGCTCGTCGTTTCTGTTTGCTGCTGTCTGCTGAGTCCATCAGCCCCTAAGCAGAGCAGCCAGCAGTTGTGGGGCAGTTTCTCAGACTCTGTCCTGAGCTTCCCCAGACTGAGAGCCAAGATCAGCCCTCCTGCCTGTCCTCTAAAACTCAGCTGAAGCAGTTCAGAGGGAAATGGATGTGTGCTAATCCCTGCATCAGTCCCGGCTTAGAAAAAGAGTAGTTTTGTGCAGTTATCACCACCCAGCTCTGCTATGGAGAGAGGAGGGCTTTTCTCCTGACACTTAGAAGCACCCTGAGGTCTCTGAGGGCTGGGAAAGATGGATAAAAACTGTGGCAAACCGATGAATTAAGACATTATGCTCTTGTATTGGCATTGGTTGGGCTCTGCTTTGCTTTCCTTCGTTTCACCTTGAAGCCTTAACAGTTTTGTTAGTGAGGAGACATGCCGTGTCTTTTGATGTCTCCTACTGAAATCCAGAAAGTCTTTTCACTGCCGGAGCAAGGGTTGTATCAAGTCTGCGATGAGATGAGGGCTCCTGCAGAGCTGTTCTCCCTGCGGCCCGTTGTGTACGAACGGGGGCAGAGCTCCTTGAAATCATCTTCTCGCTGTTGACTTCCAGAGGGTTTGCTGATGGCCACATCTGTGGGGTTATAAAATGTTTTTGCCGTAAATCGAGCATTGGCAGCTCTGTCTGTTTTGATTCCTTCCTTCTGGTGAGCGCTATGGGGATGTAATTTAATTTAGGGATTTAATTTAAGGACTTGAGTGACTCGTTTGGGGAAGAAGCCATTCTCTGTGGAGCGAGGTGGTGATACTGCTGCTGAATGGTGGGACCTGGCTGAGGAGACCGAGGAGAGCGGTTTGGTCCTGTTTCTGCTATTCTCTCATGAAAACTTATCAAAAAGTGGAAGAGATTTGCGGTAAAAAGAGTTGAGGGCTGTTTGGAGCTCCGTTTCTAATTGTTAATTGACCTTGTTCTTTATATGCATTGTGTATCCCGAAAGCCAAGGGTTCCCTTCTTCTTTTAGCAGATCTGAGGAGAACAGCCAGGATGCCGCATCGCACCATTCATCTTTTCCGGAAGGGACTTCGGCTTCATGACAACCCGACGCTGCTGGCCGCTCTGGAGACCTCGGAAGCCATCTACCCTGTCTACATCCTGGACAGAAAATTCATGACATCTGTGATGCACATAGGGGCCCTGCGGTGGCATTTTCTGCTACAGTCCCTGGAGGATCTCCAGAAAAACTTGTGTCAGCTGGGCTCTTGCTTGCTGGTTATTCAAGGAGAGTACGAGTCTGTTCTTAGAGATCACATCCAGAAGTGGAATATCACACAAGTGACTCTGGATGCGGAGATGGAACCATTTTACAAGGAGATGGAGGCCAACGTACGACGTCTGGGAGAAGAGCTGGGATTTGAGGTGCTTTCCTTGGTGGGCCACAGTCTGTACGATACCAAACGGTACGTGATTGCCCTGAAGACCAGTGAGGTGTCTCCAGGAAGGTTTAGTTTAGATTTAGCAAGCATCAGGGAGAAAAGGCCAAGTATCTTGGTCTTCCTGGATCTTAATGTGTTCCTTTTGAGAAAACTGGACTGAGATAAACATGGCACTGTTTGCTGGAGAATTTTTGGGTGTTTTTGTCTGCTGGAAGTAACAGAAGAGATTCTGCACAGGTGTTAGGATGTTGGCCTGTGATTTGCGCCTAAAGATTTTGGTAATTTTTTCCTTTTGGGCAGTTTAATTCACTTAAAAATTTACATTAGTTACTCTTTTAAACAGAGTGGAAGAAATTCTTTAACACATTTAATAGGACTTTTGTATAAATTTTTTGTGTCAGTTGTTTTTTTTAATCTTTCTAATCAACTTTCACTGGTGTCTGGATACACTTGGATGCAAGCTGTTATTCAGAACTAGATGACTGAAGATACTGAAATTAATAATAATAGGGAGGTAAACAGTGTCCTGGTTTCAGCTGGGATAGAGTTAATTTGCTTGTTAGTAGCTGGTACAGTGCTGTGTTTTGGCTTTAGTGTGAGAATAACATTGATAACACACTGGTGTTTTGGTTGTTGCCAAGTAGCGCTTACCCTAAGTCAAGGACTTTTTCGTTTCCCGTGCTCTGCCAGCGAGGAGGTGGGAGCTGGGAGGGAGCACGGCCAGGACAGCTGACCCCAACCAGCCAACGGGATATCCCATACCATAGAACGGCATGGCCAGTATAGAAACTGGGGGAGTTGGCTGGGAGGGGCCGATCGCTGCTTGGGGACGGGCTGGGCATCGGTCAGCAGGCGGTGAGCAATTGCATTGTGCATCACTTGTCTTTCTTATTATTTTTTTTTAAATTTGTTTTTAATAGTCCTTTTCATTACAATTATTATTATTATA